GCCTCGAGTCGGCGAATTCGCATCATGACATCTAGCTGAGGTGCAGTGAGATGAATAGATGTTCTAAAGTTTACTAAACCAAATTAGAGCATGTCACACTGACTCGGTGAGAGGATGCAGACGAGCAGACATGACGTGCCTCAGGCCTACGGGAGAGTGGCCCCTCCCGATGCACAATGGGTTTCTGATACACGCTTTCTTGAACTGTTAGTGGTCGTTGAGCTACTTTACACTACGATTCTTCCTTATCATCACAGCAGGTCTCCTGTTTGCAGCCGACGTTCACATGCTGCTCGCTTCGTAATGTGCCTGTTTGCCGTTCACGAGTGCTCTCTGCTCGTGTTAATGGATTTACCAGGATATATACCTTGTGGTTTTTTCTGCTATATTGGCGGAACATAAGCTAAAATAGGTTTCTAGTTTTTGGCACTGTAGGCAGGATATATCACTGAGGGCAGGCACTGTTTGGCTTTGTTTAGCTTAGAGGAGGGAGGCGGTGGTGGCTAATTTCCTCGAGGTCCGCAGAATTTTGTAGGTCGTAAAATGAGACAAGCTTCCCGGATCCGCTTTGGTTGGGTCTGTGAAGGTAAACTTACGCAATAGTATGAGTTTCATTATGTATGGCTGTGCTAGCCTTGTAATAGTTTACAGGTCTCCACGTTGATGGAAATTAGTAAAAATCCTCCTCCCTTGTCCCTCGCGCTCAGAATAACACGCCAACTGAGAAGGCACTATTTTCAATGAGTTCGAGACTTTGCTCATATGTAGCTTACCACCCTTATTTCGCATCATCATCATCATGGATGGAACTTCGTTCGAACACATCTCGAATTTTTTTACTGAGGAGCTTGTTCTGCTCTCCTCAAGCAAAGTGTTTTTGCTTTTCAAAGCGATTAAGGTCCCGATTAAGTTAGAAATATGTTTCTGTTTGTTATACACCTAAACGCAGGCGCGCTCATGGCAGGCACTGGCGCCAGGCATTACCGCTCCAAACAAATACCATGCGCGGATCCAGCGAGTCAACTAAACCTTGAGAAGAAAAAATTTCTAGGCAGATCTGTTCTTGGGAGAAATTCAGACTGCTAGTCCAAATTGCGACACTGAAGAAGATTTTATGGATACAACATTAAACAAAATTTTGAGCCGTTCAAGAAAAGATTGTGTAGATTTTTTAATGCTAAGCTTTCTTCCTCCATTTCGAAGCCCGGCTTTGTTCGATTTATTATGAATCTGTCATAAGGTTCTGAGGTGGGAAAGTCCATTCAGTCAATATCTCTGCCTTTCCGCTTCCGGCTTAAGGTTATTTTTAACTAGAAATTTTTTTTGCAAAAGTCGTAGGGAGTTGAGAGAATCTGGGAAGATGCACAGGCAGTATGGAGAAATGGGGAGACGCTGTAAAAGGAAGTTTTGAAAGCCACACTGATATCGCAATTCCCCATTCCGATGTTGTGCTCAGGTTATATCTCCCTTTCCACATCTTTGTTTCTTAAAAATATGCTCGTGACCACACATTGTGTAGTTCTCGGTGCTTGTTATTCTTCACATTGTTACGATCAATTTGTTTGTTCTTCATCGTGGTCATGTAACGGGACAACTGTGAACCGTATGTGCTTTTCAAAGTACACACACTGGTGTGGGTGGGTACGGAGCGGTCTTAACATGTTGACGAGCTTGCTCATATTCGTGTGGTTTGTGTGTGAAACCTAACACTTTCTTTTCGGTTTAAATGTAACACATTCTCGTATTGACAGCATTAGTACGTCATCAGCTCAAAATGTTGTCGCGCCATGCCTATGTGTGAAGCAGAATTATGCAAAAAGAGCTTTACGAAAGATGGAAGATTAGGTGCAGTTCGACGACGGGGGGCATTTTGCACTTTCGCTACTTCCCATCGACGTGTCGACCTATCTAGGCAGCCTCTTCTCGAGTTGACAGGTTTTACCATGATGGCTAGATGAGCTTGCTCCAGCTTCACAAGAGTTCACAGGTTTCGCCAGAGTGAGACTTGTAAACCGGAACTAGGGAAGCAATGATAGTACAAAATGCCCCCCCCCCCCTCCCGTCGTCAAACTGCGCCAGAAAATTACGTAGAAAACCTTATTTCGAAACTATAGCACGGAGTCGTGCCGTAATTTGGTGAGGACTTGAAGGCGTGATTCGGTATGAGCAGAGCTTCACTTCTAGTTTCATCGGGTGGGCGTTTTTTTCTGAAAGGTGGACTATGAAAGCGCAGTCAAGGGGCGGACACTGCGAAAAGGGAAATAGTACTGGTGCAATTTTGTGCCTTAGCACCTTTAACTTACAGCTTAGGAGCTCGAGAAAATGGTAGAAGGTTGTCCATATGGAATCGCAGTGCTCACCTCAGAAAATGATTTACATTTTCATGGGTCATCGTGAACCGTCTCTTTGGTAGGAGATTTTTTGGTTCTATTTCTATGGTGGCTTGGAAGCGGGGGTGTCGTACTGTCCGTGGAGGCTATTCAAGACTCACTCTCATGGCCTGACGAGTCAGAGCTTGCCCGAAGCTGAGCAGACAAATCCACGCTCGTAAACCGTTGTTCTGGACCCTAGTTCCACATAACCAACTTTAGAGTCTAGAAGAACTCACTATCAGACTCTTGACGATGTCGCATTATGGTTCGAATAAATTAACGATTCTGAATGGAAGTTGAATGCATGGCGAATCGAAGAAGAGTCGATCAATATACAGCCCCTTATTTTACTTTATCGCCGTTTGTTGGAAGTATAACGAGATAGTTTGATGGTTGTGGCGAACAATCTATTTCCGTCTTTCGCCCAAACTCATGACGAATTGTGTTGTGTTATCGAGCGTTTCAAAGATGAACTTTGGCACTGCACGGAGTGGCCGTACTAACGTTTCTCTTCATATCCTCCAACGGACAGGTACATTTGAAGACATTCCGGCGATGATCACCTCCTTTTAGGATGCGCCGCGTATTCCACCTAATTATCGCAGTCGTATTCCATGCTATTCTACAACGAATTCCGACGCAACCAATGCACTGCCAGCCTTTTGTCTTTGCAGACGAGTTTGATGCACTTGGGCTTGGTGGGGGCATTTTGTTGGTTCCCATCGATTGTTTTTATTCCTCCAAGGAGCAGTTGTAAACCACTGAGAAGGCTATCCAATAGGGTCTCGTTTATTCTTGAGCTTGTAAGTCCCACTAGTTGAGACGTGTAGATTAAACAGGAACTAGTGCACCCACCCTTCAGCCAAACAGCGCCCAAGTCTGGTACCATCTAGCCCCAGAAGAGGTAAAAGGCTCGGGTTGACCTACTTCTTCAGGCATCTCCACATTGTTTGATAAGCTCATCATATTTCCTGTGCGCTGTGCGCTACCTTCACATCTTTTGTACCTGATTTTAGACCTGTGACTTCTGCAGGGTTAACTTTGTTGTCACTTTTCGGTAATCGACCTTGCCTGGTCGTCGATTCCTCCGGTCTTTGGTCAAGGCGGCACAGCGTAACTTGCAGACGGCTGGCAAACAGTTGTTCACGTGTTCTTCACCTTCAGTGGTTTTCCTTTTCCCGAAATTGTGATGGCTCTAGAAAGGGACGGGAAACTATCACTGAACATATTTTCTGACACTGAGCACCTGTTCTTAATGATTGGCCTATTCTATTTAGAGTTTGGGGTAGGTCGCTTAGGGGTCATAGATTAACAAATTGTTTCCTGCTAATGTTCATCCATTACTGCTCATCCTCCAAACCAGTTTA